TCTCCAAAATAAAAAACAAAGACCAAAAGCTAAAAAAAAAAAATCAACACAACATATGTGCAAAAGACTGTGCAAGAATCCAAACCGGGGGTAGCTTCTTTGAAAAATACTAAACAGGGCTTGGTGGTACAGCAGTAAACCCAGCACTTGGGAAGTTAAGGCAGAAGATCTCAAATTCAAGGGTAGCCTGGGCTACACCGAGACTATTAAAAAAAAAAAAAATACTAAGCAAAGTAGGCATCACTTAAACATACACTGGATTGTAACTTGTCCGGGAATTTTTTTTTTTGTTTTTCTTTTTTTTTGGTACCAGGGATCAAACTCCGGCCTTTGCACTTTCAAGACAGGCGGCAGAACCACCGAGCTAAAATCCCCAGCCCTGGAAAAATATTTTAATAAGAATTAGACAAAGTCAACAGAGTTCAAGAACAAGGTTCTGGGGCTGCGGATTTAGCTCAGGGGTTCTGGTGCCTGACTTGAAGAGCAAGGAGCCGAGTTTGATCCCCAGTACCACAAGAAAAAAAAAAAGAACAAGGTTCACTGTTGGTGCTTATTTACACTAGCTGATCAGTTACCCTGATTTGATCAGTGTATACACCTTGTATACATATACTGAAATATCTTATTGTGCCCCATAAATAAGAACTATATAATTATCACGTCAATCCAAATATTAAAAATCAACTGCAGTGAACCTTTCCATAAGTAAAGGGTAATATTTCCCTGTCACAGAATCACCTTCATTGGCTTCAGGGATTTCAGGGCCTACCTTTGCACATGCTAAGCAAGCCTGTTCTAACGCCATGCTACACCCAAGTCCCAGAATCATCTTTGAACTGGTTCCAGTACTGTATTTTTCTTATGGCTACATTCCTTGAAAAATACACCCATAAAAGTTTGTAACCGAAATCATTAGCTTTTTTAAAAACACTTGTAGCCAAAGAACACATCCTTTGTGATCCAGTAAGTTTTTTCCAAAATGCAGAATTCAGCTGTTTTTATGCTTCACAGCTACCCTATTTCACAAAACAGACATAATTGAACAGAAGAGAATATAAAATAGTAAGTCGCAGATTATTAGGCTAAATTTTTCCCAAGAATTTTTTTTTGGGGGGGGTACTGGGATTGAACCAGACCTTGCTGGCAGCGGAACCGCTGAGCTATATGCCCCGCCCAAGACTTTTATTTTCATTATAACTATGTGCATGTACTTGGTGGTTTTGTAAAATGTATTTTTCACTGTAGGTGACAGTCCAAAAGTTTGAAAGCTGCTTGAATCTTTACCATTCAACTAAATCAACAAGACACCTAAAAGATACCTGCCTCCCAGGTTACAGGGCAATGGAGGACAAAAATCCTCCCGGGCAATAAATAATCATTGTTTCGTTTTTTGGTACCTGGTACCTGAGATCGAACTCGGGTCCTTGCCCTTGCAAGGCAGGTGGCGGAACCACTGAACTAAGTCCCCGGCCCAATAAATAATCATTGTATTACTGATGCCCATTGCCATTATAATCAATCCCATAACAATATAATTATAATTGCATAACAAACTACACCGGGAACAAGCTAACTTGGAAGACTCCAAAACACAGCCACGGGCGAGGGGGGACCTATGGGAGCCGTTTCCACAAATCCTGCAGGGGCTCTCACCTAAAATGAACTAATAACAGAAACAAATAAGCCCGGCTCTCAGGCAGGGTGAGCTCTTCAAAAAGCACGCGGTCCTTTCCCTCTCCCGTGTTAGAGCCTCTGTTCTCAGCACACAGAGGCGGCTCTGTCCCCGGACAGCGCGGCTCGGTCCAACAACAGATAACTGTGAAACACTTGGCTTCGTTCCGCCGCTGCCACTCTCGCCCTCCTCACAGTCTGCAGGGAGCGGGGAGAGGCTGGGGCTGGGGCTCGGCGGGCAGGGACAGGGGCTGTGGCCCAGGAGGATGGCATCTTCCCGCGGCTCCACCGCAGTCCACCAGACTGCAGCACACACTCGAACGCTTCAGGAGACGCGCAGGCTGAAAGGCCCTGGGGCGGG